TCTTCCTGGCTGTACGAGTATGAGCAGCTGCGCGGAGCAGTGAAGTATGGGCGTTTTGCGAAAATGACCCTGGATGGACTTCGGGCGTCGATTGAACAAGCGGCTGAAAATCAGTCACTCCGCGGCAAGAGAAATCGTGCCACTAATACAGGTAGTGGCCAACGGTAGCAGCAAGGAGGCAGCACAGGTGCTCGCCATCAGCAACAAAATGGGCAAAATGGGAGCAAGAAAATCAGCTTGGCGATGGTCAACGAAACCGAAGCATGACAGAAAAAACAAAACTTGTCACCGGTGCAATGGGATCGGTCACTTCCAGGCAGACTGTACGGTTATTATCGATGGTGTTGCTGGGCCTGGTGCGGCTGCCACCAGTGGAGGCAACACTGGGACGAAAGCTGGGACGCAACGGCGTCAGCAGTGCTCCAACTACACGAGTCGAGGCGGCGAAGTCCGTGCAAACAGGCGTGGAGTTGTTGAAGATGAGCAAGGTGTGGCTGCTGGTGTTGCGATGGTCAGTCCGATGATGGCCGTTCCGGACACGAAAAATGAGGATGACAACACAGGTTCCAATGTGCACTTGACCGGTGATCGCTCTCTCTTTGTTCATCTCGAAGAAATTCAACCAGAAAGTATTGTTGCAGATGTCGTCATTGTGACCGCCGCGACGCTAACTCGTGCGTCTGGCATTTGTCGAATAATGATCATCACTCAGGTGGGTAACACCGAGGCTGAGGTCTTTTTGGACAATGAACTGTACGTGGAAGGCGCGTCACACGGACTGTTTTCCATGCATCTCTCAATTACCAAGCAGAAGCTCGAAATCTCGTACGATCGTGCAGCATCGACATTCAGTGCTTACAAAAATGAGGAACAGGTGATCTTTGCTGATCCTCGCGAAAATATTTGGGTGTTTGAGGCGAAGCATATAGCGGATGCTCCGCGACGCCCTGGTTTACCGCGTGTGATCGTCAATTACACGATCGCGGACGGTGTGGCCACACTCGAGCAGTAGCACAACCGGACTGGACACACGAATGTTAAATATCTCAAGATCATGGTGGATTGGGGACTCGTGCGCGGCATGATGATCACGAACAGGCAGCTCAAGACGTGTGATTCTTTCCATATTGACAAGCAGAGTTAAAAGCGACGTCAGCAGAAGTTGGATCGCCAAGTTACGGCTCCCAACATGATTGTGGTTGCTGATTTGATGTTTTCGCCACAGAACAACGGTTAGCGATTTGTCGCGCTCTCGTAATTTTGGATGACTGGAGCCGATATCTCACTGTGTTTTTGCTCACCGACAAGAGTGGAGAGACTGTGAACAAATACATGCAGCGCTACGTGCTGTGGGCTGAGCGCCAAGCTGGTCGTGGGATCACGAAGATCGTCCAGCGTAAGCACGAGCCTGCAGAAAGCGCGAAGTTTCCGGTGCAACGCGTTCTCACAGATAAAGGTTGTGAGTTCGTAAACAGGATATGAAGGCGTTCTGTGCGGAGCTTGGAATCAAGCACATCAAAGCCGAATCTAAGAGCTCACATCTGAATGCTGTGGAGCGTGCGATCCAGTCGTTGAATGACTACACGAAGACGCAAATGTAAAAGTTCGTATTTGCTCGCTCGTTTTGATGGCATGCCCTTTGTATGGGGTTTACATCAAGAACATGATGTACCATCGAGCCATCGATAGGATTCCAGTCCAGCGAACGCTCGACATGAAAGCTGATGCACCACTTGAGGCCCTTTGGCTCGCTCGTGTACATCCACGTGCCGAACACACCAAATCGTTCGAAGAGTGACGACAATGCTATCATCGGCTATCTACTTAGGTTCGAAATGGACACTG